TCTAGTCAGTGTTGCTCAGTGGTTGAGTGTCAACCTATGAACCAGGAGGTAAAGGCTCAATTCCCAGTTGGGGCACATGCCTGGGTTGATCCCCAGTGTGGGGCGTGCAAGAGGCAGCCAATCAATGATTCTCTCATTGATGTTTCTATCTCCCCCTCCCATCCTCTCTCTGAAATCAATAAAAATATATTTTAAAAAAATAAGAAGGAATTACTATAATTAAAAACACAGATATAGTTAAGAAGGTTATGACAGGAGGCGCTTTTGTGTATTCTATTCACTAAATGATCCAATCAAATCCAGTTGTAAGTTAAAACCAGGTTTTCTATCTATCAGCTGTATTCAGGCTAAACCTTGGCATTGGAAAGTCAAATTTCCAGGACTTATATAACCCCATTCTGGCCTTTCCGTGCTCTAAAATAAAATATGATTGTGAAAAAAAATCTACACCTGTTTTTTGCTACATATGACAGAGGATAGTGGACAATACAATTATTTATTTTTCTTACCTTATAAATTTTAGCCCTAAATCTATAAACAGTGAATCAGCACTATATGGCCAATGAAAATAAATAAATGAGCTTAAGTAATACATGGAAAGGATAGTAAAAAGAACACCAAAAATGATATAAACTTAAACCAAATAAAGTCATCTAATTGATATATATGTCTATAAATGATTTGGAAGAGAATGAAGCATGATAAAAACAGGTAAAATTGTCAATGAAAAGGATTTTTGTATAACTGTTTAACCATGCCAAAAATTTATTTTTTTAAAAAGAGGCCCAAATTACAGAATTTCATGAAGTATATAAAGTATCTGAAAGCTTTGAACAAGGGCCAGTAAGGAAGTATCTTTAGAACATCATGTTGATATTTTTTATAAAGAATAAAAAAAGTCTCAAGATTCATTTAAAAATACAATAAAATATAAGGGAGAAATGTGTCTTTACAGTATAGTTAAGTCCTTTTCTATAACAACACTTTCTTAGGAACACTGAAGGCTTAGTCATCACACAAAAGGCCAATACTGTCTCTAAGTGACTGTGGACTTCTGTACTTCTGGCTGGAAGAGGTAGGCCGGGAAATTTATCCTGAAAGAATGAAGACCCCATTTTCTCTGGCAGCTTCATCTCGGGGTTTTTTTTTGGGGGGGGGCACAAAAGTTGGAAATTCTTGACATGGTGAATATCTCAATATTTTGTTACATTTTGCTCCAGTACTACAAACGTTCTCCTTCAACTTACACAGCTTTATGAAATGCAGAACTATTTTGATAGTTTTGTCAGCTTTTCTAAATTCTAACCAAATGTCCCTTAATAGAATAAAAACTACTTTCTGGACCCAGCACGCTCCCTGGTAGTTCTCTTAGTGTTCCAATCACCTAAGCTAGCAAATAATTATTGAAAATAATTATTTTCCATTATTCCTCCCAAGACCTGCCTGTACAGTCTACAGTTATTTCTGCAATATCAGTAAACATATGAATCTTGTGGATGGAGAGCCTTGGCTGATCCCCAACACCATTTCCCCCCAACCCCCCGCCATGCCCAGTTCTGGGGTGGCCATGTGGTCAGAAGTCATCTACAACTTCTGGTGGAACCAGGGAGAAGAGGAGGCCACCTTGCCCACTCTGCTTGCTACTATAAATACGACTGTTTATTTGTTTGTTTAATGATTTTAGAGAGAGGAAGGGAGAGGGAGAGAAACATCAATGATGATAGAGAATCATTGATTGGCTGCCTCCTGCACTCCCCACACTGGATATCGAGTCCACAACCCAGGCATGTGCCCTGATCGGGAATCGAACCGTGACCTCCTAGTTCAGGGTCGATGCTCAACCACTGAGCCACACTGGACAGGCTCTGTTTGCTACTGTAAAGACAGTAAGCCTGAAGCTATGAAGACTTACCACATGGAGAGAGCCTGCCTAAGAGGGAAGCCAAAACAAAGGGAAGCACTGTTGAAAAATGGAGAAAAACTGAGTCCAGGAGACTTGACCCAGCTAAATAAGAAGCTAGCACCACCTGTGTGTGTTTTTGTTGTTGTTGTTGTATGAACCAATGGGTGTATAACTCAACCCCACCAATTTATTTCCTTTGAGTCAGTCTGAATTGATTTTGTCCTTTGAATAGAAAGAGTCCTATCCCATATCAATTAAGATGTTTTTAGCTGCAAGTAAAAATGGTTTAAATAGATGTTTGTCATCCTATATAATAAAACCCTAATATGCAAATTGACTGAACAGCAGAATGACTGGGGGAACTACTGGTCACTATGATGTGCACTGCCCACCAGGGGGCAGATGCTCAACGTAGGAGCTGCCCCCTGGTGGTCAGTGTGCACCACAGGGGGAGTGCTGCTCAGCCAGAAGCCGGGTTCACGGCTGGTGAGCACAGCAGCGGTGGCGGGAGCCTCTCCCACCTCCACTGCAGGCAGGCAGTAAGGAGGTCCCAGACTGCAAGAGCCCCGGACTGCGAGAGGGATGTCTGACTGCTGGCTTAGGCCCGATCCCAGGGTGACATCCCCTGAGGAGTCCCAGACTGCGAGAGGGTGCAGGCCAGGCTAAGGGACCCTCACCCCCTAATGCACAAATTTCGTGCACCGGTCGTCTACTCTCATATAAAAGGCAGCTCTGAGATAGGTAGCTATCAATTCAACAAACAAAAATGCAGTCAATGCCCTAGCCAGTTTGGCTCAGTGGATACAGCGTCAGCCTGTGGACTGAAGGGTCCTAGGTTTGATTCCAGCCAAGGGCACAAACCTGGGTTGTGGGCTTAATCCCCAGTGTGGGATTAAGTGGGAGTCAGCCAATCAATGATTCTCTCTCATCATTGATGTTTCTATCTCTTTCTCCCTCTCCCTTCCTCTCTGAAATCAATAAAAATATATTAAAAAATAAAAAGAATCTAGGCTTCTCATCAGTCCCTCTGGCAATCCTTAGCATTCTACCTTTTGTCTTTGAGCCACAGTGGCAGAAAGATGGCTGCCAGAGCTCCAGGCATCACATCCTCATACAATAGCATCAAAGAAAGGGAAAATTACTCTTTTTATCAGAGAGAAGACGATTTTTCCTAGAGCCACCACTGAGCACCCAATCCCTTGGTCTCACTGGCCAGAACTGGATTTTACACTGCCTTGCTACCTCTATCCCTCTTTGGCAAAGGAGAGTAAAATTATTGTGACAGCAAAGACCAATCTTGATTTGGAGGGGTCCATCTTCTGTGAGCACATTGTGGCAAGACACTTGATCAAAATAAGGGCTCTATTTTCAAGGAAGAAGGGAGGAAATGGCTCTTGGGTAGGCAACCAATAATGTATGCTGTAAGTCCTAATACAAGCACATGCAAGAGATAGTGAAAAATTTGACATTCCAAACCAAATGATAATACCATCATTTTAATTTCCATGTGCACACACCTAAATATGCACCAACTATATTTATTATTTTTAAGAAACTATGAAAACGACTGCAAAACTGTAAATTCCTTGTAATGGCTTTTTAAAGTCTTTACTGAAATGCCCCAGAATAATAGGTATTAGCTATGTAGGTTATTTTCAACATGCCTAAAATAGAAAAAGGAATGTTAATGAATGATCCTCCCATTCTTAGAGCTCTAAGGCTATCTTGTTAGCTAAGGCTGTTAGAATCTGCCATGGGGTACAGCTGAAGAGCCCACTAAATAGAGAACAGAAACTCTTCTGAGCAAAACTGGTTTTCAACTCTACTAAAGATCAATGCTATACAGTGGTGCCTCTTCCTTAAAATATGGCATCACTGGGGGTCATGAAGCTTAGATGAGATGGCAATGCGAACACTCCTAGGCCAGAACTGGCACATAGTAGTACTGTGAAGTCCAGGGAAAATAGAAGAGGGCTGAACACGGGCAGCAGGAGCACAGGTGGTGACGGGGAAGGAGAATGAACACAGTCTGAGAGTTCATTTCCAAAGTTAACCTAAACCACAACTATATCGTGAAATAATTACTAAATACACTAAACAAAATGTACAAGGCAAAGAAAATTAACTTAAAGCATCAGCAGTGATAAGAAAAAACTAAATATCATCAGTAGGCCTGTAAGTAACTACAATATTATAATCTGGTAAGAGCTTTAGCTGAACTTAGTAAAATCTTATTTACTATGTCTTTTTTTTTTTTTTTTAAGGTTTGGATGATTTTTTACAGAGAGGAAGGGAGAGGGATAGAGAGTTAGAAACATTGATCAGCTGCCTCCTGCACACCCCCTACTGGGGATGTGCCCAAAACCAAGGTACATGCCCTTGACCGGAATTGAACCTGGGACCTTTCAGTCCGCAGGCCGATGCTCTATCCACTAAGCCAAACCAGTTATGGCTTATTTACTATGTCTTAAACATCCCCACCAACATTTTCCTCTTGATCTTAGTACTCACTGAAAATAAGGTCTCTGCTTCTTCCTCCACTAACCACTTCAATGAACGTACAAATGAGGTCACACCTGTTATTCCCTTTAAACAGAGGCTAATTATCTTACGAGTTAAATGCCACAGGAAACAAAAGAGAGAAATTGGAGGTAGAATGGAATGCTCTCTGAAGACTTTAGATCTGACTCTGACATTAAAGTGAGCCATTTCCTTTTCCTAAACTGTAAAGTGAGAGCCCCATTTGCTGTAAAATTCAGTGACACTATGAATTAAAGTGCCAATTATTTGTCTTAATTCAGCAGAATGTCAGCATAGCCTAGTAGCAGAGGTCAATGTGCCCCAATGTATTTTAGAAGTAGAAAAGGCCTTGGAGCTGTACTGAGGGGTATCTATGTGACCTTCATGAGGTCATCACCCCTCTCTGAGCCACAATGTCCTTACCTGTAAAACGGGATCATAACACCCTCATGGCAGGTGGTATGAGGATTAAATGAGATCAGGAATGTACATCTTTTGTGGTTCCTGGCAGTAGGAGGCACTAAAAAAATCATAGTTATTGCTACTGCTTTTATTAGACTCACCAATAAGCACTTACCTAAAGAAACAACAGCAACACTCTCTGGCAAGAAATGTAATCTGTATCGAATCAGTAAATGCACCAATATGATGCAGATAGCTGTAGGAAAAATAAGACATTGTTAAAACAGCACATTTTAAAATGATAAATACCAAGTTCAAGGCAATAATTACTTCTGGAGGGCTGCCAGGGAAATGGACAACTGTCAGTGACACTGTAAACTTCAGTGGCATTTGCAATCTCTTATTTCTTTAACTGGAAACTCACAGTGTTATAACTGTAGACTCACAGTGTTTAAAACATTTTCTCTATACTTCTTTACATCTAAGAGCATCAGACATCTAATATTTTTCTAAGCAATTAAAATTATTCAAACTTCCCAGATTCTAAGAAATGGTCTTCAACTTTATTGAAGTAGTCATCAACTGGCAAACTCCAAATAGTGAAGACCAAGTCAATGAAATCAATCACTTTCATGTAACTATAATATGCTGACATGAAGTATTTTACCACCTGGTGATTGGTTCTCTCTTAACACAAAGTAAAGTGAGGGTGTTTTATAAACAGAACAAAGTAAATGCTTTGGTTTGGTGATAAGATCGTCAGAAACCTAAAGATGGGGTACTTGCTCTCTAGCTGGGTACTGGGGCTCCCACTGGTTGAGGGCTCCCCATTTGCCAGGCACAGTTCTGACCCCCAACACCCCTCTTAACTATTATTACCATTCTCTCCTTTGATTCTAGATGAGAAAACTGGGGCTCAGAGGTCACTTCACTGGGAGGTGCTGCAGGTGGAGCCAGATTCCAAACTTGTGCCCTTAACCTCGGGCACCCCCACCTCCCTCCTGGCTGCCTTCATGCCTCAGTCACGAAAATACAAATAATGTCTGACTTTCCTCACAGACGTGTTGTCATAAAAGAATATAAAACTATTTAAAAGGAATAAGTATTTCTGGATTTCCCCCCCACACACACACTAAAGTATACTTTTACATAAATAATTCCTAAATGTAATTTCATGGTCCAAGTGTTAATGTGCATGTCTCTTTTTGTTAGGCATCTAGGTGGTATACTACCTCCTCAATCAAAGTATCATCTTAATAATACTAAAAATAATTTATTATTATTTTTTTGTAAAAAGGAGTCTTTAAACAATCTGCGTGGCTGTTAACTGGCCACCCTCAGAGCCACATTGACAAATTAGATATCTTTAGTTCCACCAAAAAGCACCAGGTGGCCAGAGAAAGGAAATAGTTGTAAATATACAAATTTTGTCCTTTCATTCTGTGCTCTAAACCAGCGGTCACCAACTGGTGGTCTGAAAGGTTGGCGACCGCTGCTCTACACTATCAATCTGTGGTGTTATTATAAATATTTAACCTATCTAGAAAAATCCTACATTAAATACTAACAGCAAGAAAAAAGTTCCAGTGCATAATCATAACATGTGACCAAAGCATGCCTATTGTCTAAAAAGACAGGCGCATGAACACATAAGTAGATAGATAATAAATCAGGGAGCTAAATCAGTTTCTGATCCTTTTTTGCACCAAGCTGGATGAAAAAATTAATTTAAAACATGTATTCTCCTAAATCAAACCATCTGCATCTTTCAGAACAAAGATGGAAACTATTAACAGAAAGGGCTAAATATAGGGCTCAAGGAAGGTCATCAGCCATTAAAGAGAATGAGGTCTGAAAAAACAACCCACAGGATGGGAGAAAATATTTATAAATCAGATATCTGATAAGGGTCTAGTATCCAGAATATATAAAGAGCTCTTACAACAAAATGAAAACAACACAATTTAAAAATGAACAAAGGACCCGAATAGACATTTCTCCCAAGATATATGAACAACCAATAAACACATGAAAAGATGCTTAACATCATTAGTCATTAGCAAAATGCGAATCAAAGCCACAGTGAGATACTTCACACCCACTCGGATGGCTATAATTAAAAAAACAAACAAACTGGAAAATAACAAGTGTTAGTTAGGATGTAAGGAAAATGGAACCCTTGGGTCTGGCTAGTAGGAATGTAAAACGGTGCAGCCAGCTAGCCTCTGTGGAAAAGTCTGGCAGTTCCTGAGAAAGTTACATAGAGAATAACCATTTAACCTAGCAATTCCACTCCTAAGTATATATCCAAGAGAAACAAAAACTTACGTCCATACAAAAACATGTACACAAATGTTCATAGCAGAACTATTTAAAACAGTCAACAGGACGAAACAACACAAATGTCCATCAACTGAGGAATGGATAAACATAATGTGGTATATCCTTACAATGGACTACTACTCAGCCATACAAAGGAATACAATTCTAACACTTGCTATAACATGGGTGGACCTTGAAGACATGACGCTAAATGAAAGAAGACAAACATAAAAGATCATATATTATATGATTCTATTTGTATAAAATATTTTGAGTATGCAAATTCTTAGAGACTGAAAGCAGAATTTTATGTTTACCAGAGACTGGGAGAGGGGTAAATGGGGAGTGAATGCTTTTAATGGGTATCGGGTTTCCTTTTGGGATGATAAAAAATAACTAAATGGTGGTAATGTAGTAAATGCCACTGAATTGTACATTTTAAAGTGGTAAATTTTATGTTATGTTTATTTTTAGCACATATATATCCTCTAAAAAGAAAAAAGAGGATGAGGTATATAAAAAACACTAACTTGGAAAGACCTCCAAGACATTCTGTGAGATGAAAAAGCAAGCTATAGGACCCCATTTATATTAAAATGAACAAACTCCAAGCTATATGTGCCTGTATGTGAATATGTGCTTATGAATGTACAAAAGCATATACACAATACAAGTACATGTTTCCAAACAAAAACTTCTATGTGGCAAGGAGAATATGCATACCACAAGTTAAAATGCTACATTCTGTGATGAAAAAGCAAGCTATAGGACCCCATTTATATTAAAATGAACAAACTCCAAGCTATGTGCCTGTATGTGAATATGTGCTTATGAATGTACAAAAGCATATACACAATACAAGTACATGTTTCCAAACAAAAACTTCTATGTGGCATGGAGAATATGCATACCACAAGTTAAAATGCTTCCAACTTTTCATGCTTGAAGCAATAATTATGTAAGCTACATTAAAACACAGACGTGCCAATTTTAATAACGCTAATAAATTTAATGGCTCATAAAATGGATGTGTCAAATGATGCTAATTGCTAACTCTAGTGCAAGTCAAGAACAGTGACTCACCATTGTTTCTGCAGAGTCAAAGTTCAGCAAGGGTTAAGTATATATATAAGTCAACTGATTCCAAGCTTCTAAAAGTCGAAGAGTTTTGGCATCCCTTCTCAACAAAGAGGAAAACAATGTAATCTTTTCCCACCCTTTTGGGACACAAATGTTATAATTTCATTTGAATGACTAACATAGTAAACAAAGTGGCAAATGTGTTCCAGATTAGTAGTTCCTGAAGAATGAACTATGGACTGATGATTTCCCTCAACTCACCAGAGTTCATGTAGTGAGTTAGCAAGTTACCTATTAACAGTATTTTTTTTTGTACTTTATCAGACATATCTAATCAGGAATATACAATAATTATGTTATCTTGATAATATACAAGAGCAGAGGAAAAATGTCTTCAAAATTACTTAAAAAGCATTCCTTTCTGCTAAAGAAATGTTGACCTGCACATAAAAAGTGGAGATTCCAACTCATAAACTGCCAAGAATCTGATTAGGTGAAAATGGAACCTGCGTGACATTAGTGGGACTCTAGAGTCCAGGTTTATGAACTGTTTGAAGAGAAGACAATCCAAGATAAATATACAGCACTTTAAATACAGTTCAGTCCTTTCTGGCCCCAAACATGCATTAACACTGGGCGGAATTTTGCCTGGATGAAAAAGCACATTAAAAAACCCGTTTTGTAGTCTTTGGCACAAAATAATCTTAAATGCTACACATCCTGAAAATTACTTTGAAAATCTTACTTATGCTTTTCACCCTCCTGTGAAAAAAATGATTACAAAACAAAAGCTTTTTTCCCCCCCAAGCAATCCTTTTATATTCTCTAATATATCAAGCTGACAACAATGTAAGTAGATTAATAACACTTCGGGATTTAAAGAACTAAAGATTTCTTGATCAAGAAAAGAACTGCCTTTCTTCTTTGTATTCAGCTACTATATTAAAAGAAAAAGAAAACAAGAGTCCTTGATTGTTGAAGTAATCCCCTAGAAACAGAATTTAATTACATTTACAGGGTAAAAAATTACCTAGGATAGTAAATCTATATGAGACATTGTACACTTGAGCATTGTTGGTGGGAATGTAAAATGGTGTAGCCTCTGTGGAAAAGTTTGGCAGTTCCTGAGAAAGTTACACAGAGTAACCATTCACCCAGCAATTCCACTCCTAGGTTTATACTGTTTATCCAAGAGAAAGAAAAATATATGTACACAAAAATGTGTACACAGCCCTAGCCGGTTTGGTTCAGTGGATATAGCATCAGCCTGTGGACTGAAGGGTCCCGGGTTTGATTTCGGTCAAGGGCACATGCCCAGGTTGCAGGTTCGATCCCCAGTGGGGGGTGTGCAGGAGGCAGCCAATCAATGAGTCTCTCTCATCATTGATGTTTCTCTTTCTCTTTCCCCTTCCCTTCCTCTCTGAAGTCAACAAAAATATATTTAACAAAACAAAACAAAAAAACACGTGTACACAAATGTTCATAGCAGAACTATTTACAATAGTCAACAGGTGGAAACAACACAAATGCCCATCAACTGATGAATGGGTAAACATAATGTGATGTCCTTACAATGAAATATTATTCAGCCATACAAAGGAATACAATTCTAACACAAGCTACAACTTGGGTGAACCTTGAAGACATGGCGCTAAGTGAAAGAAGCCAGATATAATAGTTCTTTCTGTGTTTTGTTTTGTTTTTAATTAATGAGAGACAAGGATGAGCCCTAGGACTTTAAATAAAATTACTGTATTATTGCACCAAAAGGCTGATGGTTCAATTCTTGTTTCTCTATCAATGCTTCTCTCTCTCTCCCTCTCTCTTTAAAATCAATAAAACACACACACACACACACACACACACACACACACACATATATTTCCTATATAATAAAAACCTAATATGTAAATTGACTGAATGGTGGAACTACCGGTGGAACGACCAGTCGCTATGCTGTGCACTGACCACCAGGGGGCAGATGCTCAATGCAGGAGCTGCTCCCAGCCAACAGGCCCCAGGCCAACCAAAGCGTGTGCCAGCGGGCCCTCTCCCCCGCCGTCCCCCCTCTCCCCACCATTGCCCTGCAGAGGGAGGCAGCCAGTGAGCAGGCGGCACCAGGCTGGCCAAGGTGGGTGCCAGCAGGGCCCCCTGATTTCCCCACCGGTTGCCCCACAGATCGGCCCTGATCACCAGCTAGGCCTAGGGACCCTACCCATGCATGAATTTTGTACACCAGGCCTCTAGTGTATATATATAATTTTAAATCCCTCACCTGAGGATATTTTTTTCCATTGCTTTTCAGAGAGAGTAGCAGGGAGGGATGGAGGAAGGTGGTGGGGGAGAGGGAGATAGAGAAACTGATGTGAGAGAGATGGATTGACTAGTTGCCTTCCATATGCGCCTCGACTGGGGAGAGGAGCGAACCTGCAACTGAGGTACACGCCCTTGCCTGGGAATCAAACCCGAGACCCTCCTGTGGGCAGCTGACATTCTAACCACTGAGAACATTGGCCAGGGCAATAGAAACATATTTTTTTAAAAAAACAGACTGAAGAGTCCTTGATTGTTCAATTCCAGTCAAGAGCACATACCTTGGTTGTAGGCTCGATCCCCGGCCCCACGGAGGCAGCCAATTATGTCTCTCTCTCACATCGACGTTTCTATCTCTCCCCCTTCCTTCCATTCTCTCTAAAAAAATCAATGGAAAAAATATCCTCGGGTGAGAATTAACAACAAGAATTACTGTATTATTAAAATTGACTTTAAAAGTCTGACTAAAGTATGAAAGAAGTGATACTTTCCCTCAAAAAAACACTTAATGGACAGCAGAGAAATACTTTGTACCTTTAAATCCAGTTGTACCTTTCACTTTTCTAAAAAGATCTAATTGGAAATATGACTATCATTAAAGAAGAGTGGAAAATGTAAACATGCCAGCTTCACTTTTCAAATGAGAGTTTGGACTTGGGTCAAGTTCTAAGCTATTTCTTCTGCAGTCAGCTCATCCAAAGTGGTTGTGCAGTTTCAACTGGATATTTTTATGTTTGTTTAACACAGTTGTCTATTCTCTATAGTCTGGAAGGCACTCAAGTTAATGCCTTTTATCTAAACTTTTTGAATGATGTCTTGTAATCTGGCTATTAGTCTCTAGTTCCCAGATCTTAGGTATGTCAATCGCTTAACCTCTCTGGGCCTAAATTTCCTCACCCGTTAAAGGAGGAGGTTGAACAAAATGAAATTTTAAGTTTGACACAGTGACTCTGTTGAAAGAAAAATATTACATAAGTAAATAACAGCACCGGTGTTATACAGATATGGCGAAAGTCATGACCATGGTTAATGAAATGACAGAGATTAAGGATAACAGTGTGCTAGGACAAGGGCACCTGATCTTTTCCTCAGCAGCAAAACCTTTACATAAAATTTTACACAGAAGCTTAATAGAGATGAGACAAAATGCTGCTCTGGTCAAAGTCAGATGCCCTTCCATTTGACTACCTCTACTTCCTGCTACCATACACACACAGACTTTCATGAGCAGAGTTTGAAACCCACTCAACTAGACGTTCAAGGTTGTTCCTAGGTCAAAAATCTTTAATTCTCTCTTCCAAAGGACGTCTAAGGTATTTCAAAAAGGGCTCTTCAGAATTGTTAAGCTCTAAGTTTTTATGAAGAAAAAGAAGTACCCTGCTATAATGTTATGCACTATCATAGTCCCTCAGTCTGAAGTGAAATCCAAATGGAGGATTTGACAAAGCAAGCAGTGGTTTAAAGGGGGTTAACCACACAACACGCACAGACACGCAAGATGGTAGATGATGGTGACTGCATTCACCTAGGACAAGGAGGGTGAAGAAGATAGTCATGCCACTGGACTGTTCCTCCTGCTGAGCCTGCTCCCCTGTCTGCACAGGGAGGATGGGCTTGGCAGGGGTCGGGAGCACCAGTTTTGTAGTGACAACCAGGCTGGTGTGGAGGGTGACATTGAAACCTTCGTGAGTTGTGTTGGGGAACCTGTTGAAGGACACAAAAAGCAGAATTAGGTCAAGGAAAAAGGGCTCCAAAGTATCCACACACAAAGCCAGAGAAAACTTGGCACAGAGGAGTCTTAAGTCTTGCAACCAACAGGCAGGCCTTAAGAGAGAAACTGATTACAAAATTTCCTGCCTGCCGCCACAGGATGGTAGCAGTGCCCTCGGGTGCTTCTGAACGCAGCCATTTAGAGGACAGGAACAAGGGGGTTCCGGGCCTGCGTAGAAACCACATGCCACCTGCTCTTTGGCCATAACGGGGGATGTAATCAGAGGCAAACTGGAATCTCATCACTTCCAAGGTCCAACATCATTTACTTGGCGCCTTTATTTCTCGTTTACATTCTTTTCCCTGGATTATATCCACAAGTTGAAGAAGCCACCTGAATTTGCGCAATTGGTGATCTGGTTGGAATGCCCTACCCTACTTTATAAGATCCTTCTCAGATTTCAAAAGGCTCAGTGTAACCTCCTCTGTAACACCCCGCTCCACACCACCGCTTATGTTCCCCACAGCTCTCTCCGCACGTGTTGGGATTGTATACACTAGTGCACTATGGATACAATAGTCATTGCAGTTGTGATTATAGCAGCTAATGTGTATTGAGGCTTGCTTCATTACAGGGGCTGGGTAACCTACAACCTCTCGTTTAACAGGCATAACGTGTCTGAGGTGGATACTCTTACTTTCCCTTTTATACCCCCGAACAACAGAGAGTCGGAGGGGCTGCGTAATTTGGCCAATGCCTCAGTTAGTCAGTGGCAGAACTGAGCTGAGACCAAACATGAAGTCACTGGTCCATGCCACCTCTTTTGCTTTGTGCTGCTGAGGCACAGTTTAGTGCAGCCGTGGGCAAACTACGGCCCTCGGGCCAAATTCGGCCCGTTTGAAATGAATAAAACTTAAAAAAAAAAGACCGTACCCTTTTATGTAATGATGTTTACTTTGAATTTATATTAGTTCACACAAACACTCCATCCATGCTTTTGTTCCAGCCCTCCGGTCCAGTTTAAGAACCCATTGTGGCCCTCGAGTCAAAAAGTTTGCCCACCCCTGGTTTAGTGTCTGGGACAGAGCGGATGCTTTAACAAATAAGGCGACTAAATGAAATGACCATCAGCCAAGAGACAGATCGGAAAAGTTGACGGGTGAGGGAGTCAAATTTCAAATCCACGGGGTTCCCTGTGACTTTTTACATACGCATTCCACACACAGAGACAGGGCATCCATAACATGCAATACACTGTGCCCAGCAGGCATGGAGATGGGCTGAGTGGTCCCTGCCCAGAGGACAGGAACCCCAGCCGCCCCCATTTCATCTTGCATGGCCAGCCCCCTTGCTCTCTGCACCCCAGGCACCCTGCCTGCCTTTCTGTCCCTCAAAGGCACTGCAGCCTGTCTTGCACTCGCTGTACCCTCTCCTATCCCTCCTCCTGGCACTGGCACGGGCACTCCTTCCTGAGTAGACGCCCCCACCCTAACACTATTCCACTCCCTTCAGAGCACTAAAATCGTCTTGTCTATTTATGGTCTTTTGCTACAAGGAAGTTCCCAGAGGGAGGCTCCTGGCTTGCCTCCTTCACTACTATGTGCCCAGGGCCTGGAATATATAGATGGCCGGCAGTTAATGAATGAATGAAACTCAATGGAGACAGATACAGAAAAAGATCTCTACGGTGGAGGAGGCGCCTGGCTAACTGGGGGGTGGGGGTGGGGGACTTCCTGGAGGAGGCGGAGCGCTCCGTAATCATCACAAGACCGGAAAGCTGGGAAAGGGGCGTTTGGGTGGCGGGTGCCGCTAGACGGCTTTCCAGGCCTGCACTGGGCGGCGGATCCCCAGCCTGAGGTTCCGACCTCCAGGAGGCCTTGTTGGGCCCAGGCCCGTCCCTCCCGCCCTCCTCGCAGGGGCCGGCAAGATCGGTCCTGGCCAACCAGCACAAGGAGCTCCTCCTCCTGGGGACGGGGGGCGGCCTGAGGCGCTAGCT